CGTTAATCGGATTATGAAAAAAAAGCATGTGCATATGTCCCATATAATGTGTGATGTATGAGTGAAGTTTGAACTTAATTGGTCCATGCATGTTCGAGATACAGGTGATCACGGACGGACGCACGGACGCACACAGGGCAAAACATAAGTCCCCGTTTTCGGACTACGTCCGAACGGGGACTAATAAGGTCTGCACAATGTAAAAGTAATAAGTTCTGCGTAATGTAATATCTATGTACCAAGTTTGATTGAAATGTGATTAGAACCTAAAAATTATTATGCTAATTAAAGAATTAATATGAACAGATTTTAACCCAAAATTAATCAGGCTGTCTATTGTCCTAGAGCATTTATATACCAAATTTTATTCAAATGTGATGATCAGTACTTGAGATACCATTATTAATTATTTATGTTAATTAGGTGATTAAGAAGCATAAATATTTACCAAAAACTAATATGGTGTATAGTCCTAGATACATTGAAATGTGATGATGAGTACTCTTTAAAAGTGTCATTAAAATCCAATTAGTGGTTCTTTAGACATCAGTGCAGCAGCCATGGAACAGCAAAAAAAAAAACTAATTATGCAAATTAGATAATTAATTAATCAGGTCTCTGAATAGTCCTACAAGATCTATGTTGCAAGTCTCATTGAAATGTGATGTACTTGAGATATCAGATGAAAATTAACTAATTATGCTAATAAGGTGATTAATATGCACAAATATTTACCCAAAAACTAATTGGGTCTCTACACAGTCCTAAAGTAACTATGTACCAGGTTTCATTAAAATGTGATCATTACTACTTGAAATATCAAAAGCTGAAAATTAATTAATTATGCAAATTAGGTAATTAATATGTACTGATATTACCCTAAAAACTATCAGGTATGTGAAGTGTCATATGACATCTATGTACCAAGTTTTATTGAAATGTTATGATTAGTACTTGAGATATCAGTGGAAAAGCCGAAAATTGATTAATCATTATGCAAAATAGGTAATTAATATAAACAAATTTTTACCCAAAACTAATCAAATCTGTGCATTAGTTCAGAGCATCCATTTGCCAAGTTTCATTAAAATCCAATGAGTGGTTCTTCAAATATCAGTGGAACAGTCATGGAACAGCTTAAAATCAGTTAATTATCATGCAAATTAGGTAATTAATATTCATGGTTTTTACCTAAAACTAATCAAATCTGCGCATTAGTTCAGAGTATCCATGTGCCAAGTTTCATCAAAATCCAATAAGTGTTTTTTTAGATATCAGTGGAACAGTCATGGAACTTCTAAAAATCAGCTAATTATTATGCAAATTAGGTAATTAATATTCATGGCTTTTTACCAAAACCTGATCAACTCTGCGCATTATGCCAGAGCATCTGTGTACCAAGTTTCATCGAAATTTGATTAGTGGTTCTTGAGATAACGGTGGAACAAAAAAAGTGACATACATACATACATACATGTACATACAGACAGGGTAGCTGCAAAGACTCCCTTTTGTGCTTCGCACACGGGAGTCAATTAGGGAATTAAAGATATCATTCCAAAATGAACAAATCTGAGAGAGGTCCACAGGTAGTACCTATATATGTAATATCAAAGGAATTGGACTTGCGGTTTTA